CCGGGACGTACATGAGATCAGGGGGGGACCCTGTAACCCACGTCTCTGGCGAACTGGATAACCCATTCATTGGCCCGCCATCAGTGGCGCTATAGTTAAAATGGCTGCGCCCCAGAACACCGGCAGCCCACTTCCTGTTACCAGAACTGCGGCTGAGCTCTTCACGAACTCCACACAGAACTACTAGGAAACTAAACAGAAAATTCTCGAACTCGACGGTCAGGTTTTTTTTCCCTACCCTGAACCCTGAACACTATTCCTCGTAAGAGGTGGCGAGCTGAGCCCTAAACGAACCAACCAACTGGTAGGACCTCTTTATATATTTTTTCCAACGTTTACCCGTACAAGAGGACACCTTGATTTGGATTATAATTTTTCTTGCTTCCACACGGATTAAAATGTATTTGAACTTTGTTTTTGAACTAAACTGAGTACTTCAACCTAAAGTACAAGAAACTAAAAAAACTAAAAACTGAACTCTGCTTTCTAAGCAAAGAACGGACCTGAACTCAAACCATAAAGGTTTAAGGTTTTTTGTTGTGTGTCAACTTTTTTTCCCCTTTTCATCGGTCTGTTTTTTCCATGTGTTGTTTATGTCCAAAGGTCTAATTATTTTTTTTGTCTGTCTACAACATTTTTGTCAATACAAATTATTATTTATACAGTTATACTTCTTATTGTGTCTTCATTCCCACAAGCTCTCATACCGAATCTAGTTTTTTTCTGTCAGTCATATTTCCACCATTGCATTAACTATCCCTAACACTATATTATTTTAATATCTGTTACATGCAGGTAAACGGCCTTTTCTAACACCTTCCCAGAAAGGCAAATTTGAAATGGGTCTGTAATTGCTGAGCACTGCAGGATCAAGATATCAGTAAAACTCATGACTAAAACCAAGATCTTGATAATGTCTGTCTGTGATGATAGCACACGCACACACACCCACTCACACATGCACACAAACACACACACGTAAACAAACACACCCACTCACACACACACACACCTTCACAGCCTTGACTACCATCCGTGCAAATATATGACAACAAGATGTGCTTGATGTAATAAGGTCAAGTGACGAGAGATGGGAATTTTGCCACATTTGTCTGGTTGGCATCTTCTCGCTCTGAGTCAGAGCCGTCGTGTCGTCAATAACGTCCCATTGAGGTAAATGCGACAGAAGCATAACATGTCCGTGTGAGGTGCTCTCAGAAGCCGAGGCCTGTGTGGAGGACTGTACATCTGTGTTTTTTTTTACGTTTCAAAACAGAAAAAAATAGGATGATAAGCTTTTTAATGAGTATGACCTGCCTTGTTTTAAAACTTTGAGTGCACGCCAACAAAAGGGGCTTGGACTTCGCAGCTTCATGTTAACCTTTCCTCCTTAAATTTTGAAGACTGTCTTTGTCCAGAAAATAACAAGAAAAAGTGCATTATTTTTCTGTAGTTGGGAGCAATGTTTGCACAATGTCTCAGAATGCCTTGAAGTAGCAATATGTTGGATGTTCATGTCAAGTCATCATTAAAGGGCCCTAATCTGTCCAAACACATTCATAAAACCTGCTCTTTACCAATACGTCTTAAACTGATAACAGTAGTTCAGAAATATTTGGATTTCAAAATTAGTTCAACAGCTCCTTGATCTCGGTTGCCAGAATTCACCGCGCTGAGCTAAACTCACTAATAAATTTCCAGGTGGCCGCAGAACAAAAAACAAAAAATCTTGTTATGATCATCATCGATCATTTACCATTTGTTTTGGGCGGCACGGTGGCTGAGTGGATAGCACTCTCGTCTCTCAGCAAGAAGGTCATCACTGTGTGTGGAATGATTGGAACAAACTCTAACCCATTGTAAAGTGCTTTGGATGAGTCTGTAAAATGCGCTATATAAATAAACATTACTTACTTACCCATTGACTGCCATTGACGTATTTGTCTGAGTCCCTGTATTCGACTGGGTTATTACAGGACAATACAAACAGCTGGAAACAAACATAATTTTTGGCTGATCAAAGTAGACAATCCAGTCTTTCATTATCGTTTTTTTTTTCACATAGTCTTAGTAATTAGTATTTTGTGGTTCTTGAGAATCAGTGAAGTGTTAAAAAACAGCTGGTAGTCAATGAGTTAATGACAAAACAAGGGATAAAACAAGGATTTCTATCAGGGCCTTTGAGAAAAAGGTGTTGATTACAGATTTGTTGGTGACAAAACTCCTGTATATTTAGCTATTATGTTCAAGCTGGATTTGTCTGCATATCTGGCAACCTGAGTCAGGAAGAGTGGGAGAGATTGCAGTACAACTTTTGGCCAAATTTGTACATACTACTCCTTTAAGTTTACCCCTTAAGAAAATAATACATCTGCTGGCAATAGCAAATGTATTTTGAACTTCATTACCCACAAGCTACATGTATATATAATTTTAAAGCTTATTTTCTCATCTACATTTAAGTGTAAACAATATCAGTTGCATTAAAAAGATATAACACATAATATGAGCACAAAATAAATTACGTCCGTAAAAGTGTTTTACCTTTCGTCTTCTGCTGCTTCAACAAATTAGACTTCCCCCATCATTGCTTAGTCTCTTTCACTCCGTAAATTTCCATGGAATAAGAACATCCACTTGTATTTTCCAAAGCTTCTCTAGCTTTAAAATGATGCAGGAGTTTAAGAGGTTAACATATTTTTTGACTTTGCACCGATTGGTTCTCAGGCTTGTCAATCAGAAACATTTGTAGATGACGCACTTACTAGGAACTAAAAGGACTTTGTAACTCAGTGGCTCATAAAACAGTTTGTTCGCAATATTCTTAGTATACGACTTGTAAAGAAAATCGGTGTGAAGTGATGTTCCCAACTCTATTTGAAAGTTGCTTTGTTGTCTTGTCTCCGGCTCCTCAGAATCCATAACCCGCTGTAATCACGCTCTTTCCTCCAAACTGACTCGGATACATTTTGTGCTACAGCAGCAGCGGCGTGGCCTGTAATGGCGGTAATTGAAAATAGAGAAATTGATTGAATAGACAAGCTTTACAAGGGCATATATTTCACGGCTGCCCGGATGAGGAGCTTCCAAAGATCCAGCGAACCCTGAAATGGGATTTCTCCACACAACATTTCAGATACTTGTTCAACATCGTTCACGCACCAAACTTACACTCGTCGCTAAATGCACCGAATGCGCTCGAAATCAGCGGAAAATGGACTATTTTTCAGCACGATTTATCCTTTATTGGAGAGAAGGAAATTGATTGTGTTAGTCTTCACTTAATGTAAACAATATTAGAGTGGTTAGCAAGGAGGTTCTGGGTTCGAATCACGGTCGGAACAGGTAGTAAGTAAGTAATCTTTATCTATCTACCGCCTTTTCACCGCAGGCCAGAGTCACAAAGTGGTTTACAATTGTAAGTTTGGATGTCTTAATGGTCTTGGGCCTTCTTATCTTTCAGATTTGCTTTTATCCTATGAACCTTCCCGGCCCCTCCGGCAGCAGACTCCTAACCATCCCCAAAGTCAGGACACACGCTCTCGGCGAGGCATCTTTCCAGCACTACGGCCCCCGTCTCTGGAACAGTCTGAGGAGGAGCTCAGGGCCGCAGAGAACGTTTATATTTTTAAAAGCAGGCTCAAGACACACTTTTTTAGATTAGCTTTTGATTAGTTTTTACTATTTCATTTTATATATTCTATTTATCTTCTATTATTTATTGTATTGCTATTGCTATTATTCATGTATTGTGTGTTCGTTCATTTTAGTTTCACATTTTTGTGTTTTACTTATTGTATTGTTATTGTATTGTTTTTAGTGTACCCAGTGTTTCCTCTGGAGGAGCCCTCTGCACTGCCGACCACCGCTCCGGTGGTCGGCATGGCTGTGGGGGTCGGAATCTTGGACCTGGTGGGGGCCTGGGGCCTTGGTTTCGGGTCTCCTCTAGATCCTGTGTCGTCCCCTGTGGCTATGGCGATCATTGTTTTGTTTTACTGGTGTGTGTGTACGTGTGCGTGTGTCTCCGTGTGCGTGTGTGTACGTGTGCGTGTATCTACGTGCGCGTGTATGTACGTGTGTGTATGTACGTGTGTGAGTATGTACGCGTGTGTGTGTATGTACGTGTGTGTGTATGTACGTGTGCGTGTATGTACGTGTGCGTGTATGTACGTGTGCGTGTATGTACGTGTGTGTGTATGTACGTGTGTGAGTATGTACGTGTGTGTGTATGTACGTGTGTGAGTATGTACGTGTGTGAGTATGTACGTGTGTGTGTATGTACGTGTGTGAGTATGTACGCGTGTGTGTGTATGTACGTGTGCGTGTATGTACGTGTGCGTGTATGTATGTGTGCGTGTATGTACGTGTGCGTGTATGTACGTGTGTATGTACTGTATGTACGTGTGTGTGTATGTACGTGTGTGTGTATGTACGTGTGTGAGTATGTACGTGTGTGAGTATGTACGTGTGTGTGTATGTACGTGTGTGAGTATGTACGTGTGTGTGTATGTATGTGTGGGTGTATGTACGTGTGTGTGTATGTACTGTATGTACGTGTGTGTGTATGTACGTGTGTGTGTATGTACGTGTGTGAGTATGTACGTGTGTGAGTATGTACGTGTGTGGGTGTGCACTGGTTTTCATATAATTATGGGGACGAAAAAATGTATACACAGTCACCTCATGGGGACCGTATGCAGTATGGGGACCCAAAATTAGGTCCCCATGAGGAAAACAGTTAAAAAGCAATACAGGAGCTGCTCTGAATGTTCCAATGCAGTTTTTAGCAATGGCCCAAAAAGCATGCTTTTTGATCACTGTGTATGTGTAAATTGTGCTCAGCAGCTCCCCCACATGGTTTTAGCTGGTATTGCACTCACTGCTTCACACACACATTTGTATACTCTCCGCCCACTTCCTGGTCCCCGAATGGATGGATTTTCACAGCGAAAGGGTGTAACAGGTGGTAATATAAGGAGTCATCAGAAGATGCCAAGAAGATGGCAGCAAAAGAAGTGGGAGCAAAATTAAAACACAAGGTAAACAGTTTTGCATGAATAAACAATTAATTTAGCTTAGGTAATTATTTTGCTAATCATCTTAAAGTATTGAAAGAAAAAGTGTAGCCTTGTATTTTGATGTTATTTCACAGTAGAGTTGCATGCAACTCAGTATGAGGAGCTTATGTAAAGTAAAGGATTACATTTTAAGCATAAATATTTTTATTCACTATAACTCATATTTGACCATAAAATTGTGTTAGCTAAAATTTCTCACAAAGACTGATTGCAACATAATGTTTCGCTAGATTCAGTATCTAGTATAATATGTAGTATAGGAATAATTCAGTTACTGTATAGAAACGAAAGGACTTTTCTTTATTTCTTTGTTGTTGTTGTTATTGTTAAAAAATAAAAATTACCAGTATTCAACCAAAAGCAGGTCAAGATAGCAGGGTAGCAGATTAGTTCAAATCATTACAGAAACTAATTGACAACTACATATTTTTACTGTATTTTCACATTATGAATGCATTTAATTATGAAAGAGTTAATGAAAAATGAACTAATTGCTTTGGTAAGGTAGTGCAGGAGCAGAGTGATTCTAATCAGTGGCGTTTTCTCCCAGATGCAAAGGGAAGCCTGGCATCCCCAGTTTTTCCTCTGATTGACTTTTACTATAAAAAAATAAACCCCTTATAACAGTGTACGATTTATGCTTTTCGTGTTGTTGCTGTGTATTTTCCATGTTTCGTTTTTCATAAATTACATTTATAACAGCGCAATCAAGGTGTTCTTCTGTATGCAAGAGGAGACACTCCTCTCTTGAGCGAGAGGAAGCCGTGCTCAGACAGCATCCCCTCATGAAAAAAATGTATGATTATTGACCAATCGGGTGAGACTTCGTCACAGGAGGCTGGACAGCTCTCTACCAGAGAACGCTATTTGCATTTGACCTCTTGTCATAACACCAATCAAAATACAGTAATGACGTCACGTGAGCTACATCACAGCTAGCGGGACAATTACATTGCAAGGACTCACAGACAACACCGCTGTCGGGTCACGTGACTCTGGTGTCTATGGAAAAACTCTGCTAAAGTCTGATTCAATCCAATAATAGCAGAAGTATTTGTGAGCTCATAATAACCATACACCTTTTTGTCACACTGTATTTCACGTAAATTGACTGGATTATTTGTTGTTTGGCTAAAATGTGGAAATGATGGATCTTTTGAAAGCTTAAGATAAGGTATCGGCTAATGCTAGCACATTTAAATTGTATCAGTTTATGTTACTCGCTCTGTAGCTTTATTTATACACTAGACTCAACGGTACATTAGATTAAAAATTCGGACCGACGCAAAAATTGAAATCTGACCAATCGTGCTTTGTTCGGCATGGAGCTGCCAAACAAAGTTCTGCTCGACCCTTGGTGCAAGTACAAGCTGCAAAAAGTGATGAACAGGACCTACAAGAACAAAATGGTGCAAGAATAAAGTTCTTGCGACATGCGGAGTAAGAACTGGCCTTTAATAAGGCTTTGGATGAGGCAGCGACAATCAGCACCAAGAGGCACAATGATGCGTTACGATTTCATTGTGGTCTTACAGGAGCGCAACACATAGGGCTTCCTAAAAAAAATATACCCATGACACTGATTCTAATACATGCAGACCATCAATATTGAGTTTGTGAAACAGTGATAAGAATTCTGACTTCACAGAATGTATCTCTTTTTCTCTCTTAAGTTTGAAATGCCACGAAGGATCAGCCCCCTGCATGATGCCTTTCATCATATTACGTCAAGGACTGACAAAACAGACACACTGGATGTGAAGTACATCAATGCAGTGAAAGGTAAAGTGTAAGGCAGTGGTGATCAGTAACAAGGTAAATGTATGTAAGTACTGTACTTAAGTAGAGTTTTAGAAGAGCTGTATTTTACTTGAGTAGTATTTTTGTTGACAACTTATTACTTTTACTGCACTATATTTCACAAACCAATATAATACTTTATTTGCCACTACATTTCTAAAAAACGATCTGGTTACTAGTTACAGAGTGCAGACGAGTTGGTTGTGTGGTGTTTTTTGTTTTTCTCCGCTGGTAATCATTAGATTGTCTTATTTAATAGTTCACATCGATTAGCAAAGAAATTGAGACTATTTAAAATCATGTTATTAGTCTTTTAACCCTATCTTAAGATTTGTTGTACAAAGTTAGAAGTGGTGTAACAGGAAGTAAATTAACAAATACATCCTTCTATCCAATTTACTCATTCTGCATCAATATAACCTTTGTTCTACGTGTGGGTCATTTATATCAAAACTAATTAAACCAGGATGAAATTAATTTAAATACATCTTCAGAAGTGTTATGTACTCATATCTTTAATATTTTTGAATCCACAAGGTTATTCATTCATTCACTTTTATGCCTTTCATGAAAAAGCATCATTTTGCACAGTACTTATTGTACATGTTTTCACATTTAAAAAAAAAATGTCCATGATCAGGAAGGACTAAATAGACAAATGAAATTCTTATGGTAGTCTGTCCATTTAAAATGAAATGTAGTTTTTACTTTAAATACTTCAGTGTTTTACTTCAAGCAATCACTTCAGTACTTTAACTTGACTAAATTTGTGCATGACTTTCACTTTCATTGGAGTAATATATGACTAGTAGTATCTATACTAATACTTGAGTAATGAAATTAAGTACTTTGACCACCACTGGTGCATGCTTTGCTTTACACGTTTGTTAAAAATATTGTTTTCTTCTACAGGACGTGGTGTATTTGCTAAGAGAACAATCAGCAAAGGACAATTTGTTGCTGAGTATAGGGGAGATATGATAGATGATGCAGAATATCAGCGCAGAAGAAGCCTTTACCACCCGATGTGTGCTGCGTTTATGTTTGCATTTAAGTGGAGAGGGAAGACATGGTGGTAAGACTTAGTGTACTTAGTTTTCCACCTATTCTACACCACAATAGACAATATGAGAAAACAGTGAATGGTACTTTGATCTGATTTTTTTTTTTTAAAGCATTGATGCCTCACAAGAAGATGAGTCATTTGGACGGCTCGTGAATGATGAACACAGGGGGCCAAATTGTAGGATAAAAAGGATTGATGTGAATGGGAAGCCACACCTCTGTTTGTTTGCCGTGGACGACATTAAACAAGGAGAAGAAATTACCTATGATTATGGAGGTGAAGACTGCCCATGGAGAACACAAGTATGTTATACATTTCACAGAATGGCTCTGTGTATGTATTTCCAGCAAATGCTATGTATAAATTAGATCAAACTCTTATTTAATCATCATTTATTCTGGACTCTCATGACGTCCCCACATCACACTAAAATGTGAAGTGTGTAAAAGTGTCGAGGTCATAACTGTTTTGAAAGTCAGACTCTGGTAGTCTGGTCCCCATGAGAAACAGAAAGATTGTGTAAAAGAATGTCCCCACAAAACATGTTTTATGTTAAGATGTGTGAAAACAGAGATTGCCAAGACAGAAAGGAAACTTTGCTATGAAGTTGTTGTTTTTTCTGATGCTTTGTGCATGCTGGCATGCATGTCCTCTAGGACAGTAGTTCCCAAAGTGGGGGTCCCGACCCCCCGGGGGGTCGCGGGAACCCCTGGGGGGGTCGCAAGATGATTTCCACACAAACAAAAAAAAAAGATTTTTTTTTTTTTGAGCAAATATAAAGCCCTTAAATATTTATTTAGCATTTGATTTGATTCAAAAGGACTACTTGTTAAATTGTGTTTGGAGACTATAATATATTTTAATAACGTTAGTAATTTTGTCCCAGTCATTGCAGCGTCAATCAAAATCATCACGTAACACAGCTCACATCATGCGCAGCGACAAAGCGTGTCCTGCTGTTGTTTGCTAAAACTAAAGGTGTTTGGAGGCTACAAATAAATAATACCTGCTTTAAAATGAAACGTGGTTAATATCCACAACAGAAAAACCCGGAGGGGGAGAAAAGTCACTTGTATCAGGGGTCAGGCTGATGGTGCGAAGAGAGGGAGAGAGGGCAAAGGAGGGAGGGAGGGCAGCGGTAGAACAGCGCGTTAAAGAGGCCCGGCTTTTCGGAGTCAAAGGTAAAGAGGTCCGCACATTAAAAGCGGGTGGCCGGTTTATGCCTTTACTGACAGTAACTTTGGAAAGAGAAGCCGCGGGGATGAACTGCATAAAGTAACAGCAGAAAGCGGCCGCCCGCTTTTAATGTGCGGACCTCTTTACCGCTGACTCCGGAAAGCCGGCCCACTTTACCGCGGTAGGAGAACAGTGAGGCGCAAGAAATGCGCTCCACTTCTGCTGAGGAGGGAGCCCACCAAGCCCATCACTGTGTCACTACATGAGTAAAAATATGCAAGCCTCCTTTTTTGGGCTGGACAGTGCAGCTCGGTAGTGGCGTGAGTCTCTAGAAAGCGTTACTCCATATCAAGGAAATACATGCTCATTTCATGTGACGGAAGGGCTGTTGGGGGGTTAGCAGGGCATTTATGATGGGGGTCGCGGGCTAAAAACTTTGGGAACCCCTGCTCTAGGATAGTCTGTTTGCGTAGTTCTTGACTCTTGTTATATCATATGAAGTGAGATTGTCTAATGGTTTCTTAAATCTCAATCTGAAACATCTTTTTTTCTAAATGTATTACAGATGACCAGCCCTACAGTGAGTGGTGTGGCTTTAGATGGCTCTTGTCCTTTCCTGTCTGCGAATCAGACGTTTGATGCTGCTGGTCCCAGTGACAGCCAACAGGTATATTCATAACATCACTTATTCATGTTATTTTGTTCTCTCTATATATGAACATTTATGACGATGGACATTAGTTTTCACGATAAACTATTGCGCATTAGCACAGCTGGCAATTTCTCATTATGCATTCAGAATCTGAGTGTTAGCAAAGTATTTCAGGCAGATTTAATTTGTCACAGGCATTTTTCTCTAGTTTAGTTATCAGTCTGTACTGGACACTCACGGTGTCCCCACACCACACTTTTACCAAGTGTGTGAGGAAAAACTATGTAAAATGTTTAATATGGTCCCCATGAGGAAGTGAATTATTGTTTACAGAAATGTCCCCACAAAGCCTGTTTGATTCGAGATGTGTGAAGGCAGGCAGAGCTTCACTGGGTAGAAAGGAATATGAACAATGAAATTAGATTTGAAGTTTTATATCAGAAGTTGGTTTTATGTGTTTCATTCCAGGGATATTCTGTCAACACAATAGTTTATTTTCCCCATTGTTTTGTCTATAATTTACATCAGATTGAGCATATTCAGAAACTGTATCATTCTTCAATGTGTTTATAGATGACCAGCACCACAGCTCATGACATGACTTCTGGCTGCTAAGTCGCGGCTCATAGCGCGTGAGTCACGCGAGTCACCGGAAGTTGCCGTGCGTCGCAAATAGTGCTTGCCCTTTCTGGCTCATGCTACACTGCTGAAGGAAGCTTGCGCTGCTCACCTTTGAAACAGCGCCACTCTATTTAGAGCAGGACAACTTCGGAATTGCAAGACAGACATAAAAACTTATATCTACTTTTTAAATATGTGTCAAAACAAGCAACAATATTCAACATGTATTGCTATTGGCAGTACATCTGAAGGATTTTTTTTAAGAAGAAATGAAACCTTATTTGTATGGCACTAAAATATATCTGGCTTTTAAAAAAAAACTATTTTTAAATATTTGTCTCATGGCACGATTCTTATTTTGGCAAATAATCTATTCAAATAATGAAACAAAATACAACAAATGACACTGCTATTATTGTAATACATGAATACATACAATATAGCCTACTACTACTACTGCAATTGGTGTCAAAGGGCCAGATATAGATATATTTTGAAAGAAAGAAATAGACCAGGGGCGACAGTAGCTCAGTTGGTAGAGCATTGGCCTTAAGGCCAGAAGGTTGTGGGTTCAATTCCCACCTCTGCACCTTCTCCACCGACTCCCACTGATGACTGCTGTCGTTGTGTCCTTGGGCCAGACACTTAACCCCACTTTGCCCAAAGTCCCCACTGAAAGATCAAGGCTATGCTCACACTCAGAGAGCAGCCGTCCTCCTGTGGACTCACCACCTGCAGAGGGTCAGTGAGGGGCTGGTGCTATGAGACTTGGGTGGCATCTCTGATTGCCACCCCCCTGACCCAGAAATGGATTAAAGGGTAGAAAATGGATGGATGGATGGAAATAGACCACTAAAAATAATAATGCAATGGTCACTAACCTGTAGATCGACTGGCAGTGCAGGGTTGAGGTTTACCTGCAATACGCACTAAGATTACTAGCTGTATTTAGAATACATTACCTTCAGTATTTGCTGTGCATATTATAGTATAGTATAATTTACTTATCAACAATAATAAAAATTGCAAAAAAATTGTTCTTCCTACATAGCATTTTTACACCATGTCATTATGCAATCAAACCAACAAATATTCCAAGTATTCAGAACCAAGTAACATAATATGTACAAAATACATTTAAGCAGGTATACAGTATTCTGTGCAAAAAAAAAATGCTAAAAACAAAATCCCCAATATTGAATGCAGACGGTCACTCATAATAAAAACTAAATTAACTGATTATAAAAACATTCTATATATTTTTTGAAAAAAAAACCCTGTGGTTCTGGCTACTCAGAGAAGGAGTTAAATCTCTCAGCCGAGATCTCTGAAAATGGATATTTCAAGCAACTGCGTAACAATAGCAAAACAAGTTTATTTTCATTTTTATCTAAGAATCGACTAATTCATAAAATATTGGTATCGTGGCACATTAAAAAAAAAATCGTTTCTCTTTTTCTTACTCTGCCCCCCTTGTACATAATTGTAATTTTATTTTCCATCCATCCATCCATTTTCTACCCTTTAATCCATTTCTGGGTCAGGGGGGTGGCAGTCAGAGATGCCACCCAAGTCTCATAGCACCAGCCCCTCACTGCCCCTCTGCAGGTGGTGAGTCCACAGGAGGACGGCTGCTCTCTGAGCGGCCTTGATCTTACAGTGGGGGCTTTTTGGGCAAAGTAGGGTTAAGTGTCTTGCCCAAGGACACAACGACAGCAGTCATCAGTGGGAGTCGGTGGGGAAGGTGTAGAGGTGGGAATTGAACCCACGACCTTCAGGCCTTAAGGCCAATGCTCTACCAACCGAGCTACTGTCGCCCATTAATTAATACATTTTATTTTCAATCTTGAAATCTTCAGCAGGCTGAATACATTTCTTTTACAATAAGGATTCGACCCACAGAATATAGGAAATACGACCTCATTATCAGAATGTCCACCTGCTGTGTTTTCATCTGTCAGTGTGAAGAGGTCACAGAGCTGCAAGATAAAGGTTTTGCCCTTCTACATATAGTCTAGTTCACATGAGGCAATTGTTTCTTCAGTCACAGCAAGAGGCATTTCTATTTGATCAAGAAGAACAATTACTAATAAGGGATGTCACTAGTTGATTTTGTATTTTTCTTGGGAAATTATATTTAGATTATTAATTTATTCTTTACCAAATAGAGGATAAATATACAATGACAGAATATTTTCTAAACAAAGACTGGTGTCTTGGAACAGAAATTTTAGAAAGTGTGTAAGAGTGTGTGTAGTCTATCATTATCATAATACAATCATGAATAATTTTACTAGTTGACAAGTCACAGTTAGATGACTAACTGTAAATACAAATTGCGAAACTGGACGACGTTATGTGAAATATACGGGATTATGACCAAGGTTAAAAACATGAATTCTTTTGGTCACATTCTCAGAGCAAATCTTTGCCCTGCATACTGTAGATTCAAAAAGTCTATTATAATAAATGGAAAAGCACAGTGTAGCATTTCATTTGAATGTAATTTTAAGGCGGTAATTGCAGAGCACTGGTCTTCAGCAGCACTCTTAGCATGCAAGCATGAGCCAAACTTACACATGCTGACTTTAGTGAAGTACCAATTTGCCGGACAGTAGGTGGCTTTGGCTTCGCGAACTTTAAACATTATTGTAATTGCTCATCTGAAATGGGCAGAAAAAAACACTTAGACCATGCATGCTATAAGACCGTGTTTGTTTAGTTCCTTTAATCAAATCTATTTATTTACGACAGCAGCGCCAACTGCCCTAACCTGAATTTTTGCCAGATAATTAGACAGATAATTAAATTACAATTATCCTCTTTTTACATGCATGTTCGTACAGATTAAGAATAGAAGCGAGAAGGCGAAGAAAAAAGGCAAATTGCTCAATGGACTTGGAAGACTGCTAATGGTACTTTGCGCAATTATCCCTGACCAAAAGAGTTTAAATGTTGTAATTTTCCATAAAAGCACCTGTAGTGGGCCTGAAAAGACAGTGAGGGAAAAAAAGAAAGATGAAGAAATGAATAGTAGAGAAAGATGTGAAATTATGCACTTCAAAAATCTAATGGCATTTTCATTTTAAACTATGCCTGAATAGCCCTGCCGTGTATAGGCAGTGGGCATTGTGCAGAAGAAGATGTGTGCGCGGCTACACACTGGGAAAATATAAAGCCTCTTCTTGTTCTTCTGTTATTTGGTCTCTAATAAAGCATCTGCCGCTTCCACTCCGAGCCCTTCCAACTTCTGGACTCCCGCAGGGTTCGGCAGACAACTTTTTACTTAAATGTTTCTTTCAAATGAACCCTCACGATGTCCCCATAAAACACTTTGAGTGACTTCTGTTGTGTTTAATCATGTGTGAAATTCCATTGAAACGGTCCCCGTAAAGAAGGAACGGAAGTGTGTGAAATAGCCCTCACAATGTCCCCATAGCACACCTGGAGTGACTGCTGATGAGTTGAACAGTGTGTGAAAGTCCATTGAATTGGTCCCATGAAGGAATTGAGAGGGGTGTGAAAAGGTCCTCATGAGACGTGTCCCCGACCCTAGATGTGTGTATGTACAAACAAGTTGGTTTTACATCAGTCAAACTATGATTTGTGTACTACTGGTAGTATTTGTGACTGCTTGAGTGGTCTTATGATTTTAATTTGTAATCACTGTTTTAGACAGTGATTATTTTAGTGTTCAATTGTAAGTCCTCATACCTTCTGTCTCCCACAGATGACACTTATACCACAGGTTTTTTTGACCATTCTGACCAGCCTCAGTTCCACCTGAATACGTCATTTGGAAACGATGCCGATCAGAAACAGGTAGGATCCTATTCATCAATCATGACAAAATACCAGAGATTCCTTGTCAGTCCTGAGAAAGCTTTTTTAACCTTTGAAGACAATTATATAAGATTTGTTATGTGTAAGTCATTTAACTATATTCAGTAAGTGGATAGTGGAAGAGTGGATGAGTGACTTCTGTTGAGTTTAATCATGTGTGTGAGTCCGTTGAATTGGTCCCCATAAATAAGGAATGGAGTGGGGTGTGAAAAGGTCCTCAAGAGAAGTGTTGTCGTTTTTTGTCTTGTTTGTTTATATTAGTTTTTTTTAATTTACAGATTCTTGCACAGCACACATGGGAAGTCGATTATGTACCAAAACTGATAAGGACAAAACGTCTTTACAAAATGTACTTATGAAACTTGTTATCATCCAATGTGTCATTCATTTATTTTGTAAGTATTATTTTTTCAATGAATTTCATTCTGACTGTTTTTTGTTTTTACTTTTTTGGAATTTTTAGTTGTTAAAATGTTTTTTCTTGTTTTATTCAGATGAAAGACACAAATCATCTTGACTGTGAGTTTTATGATTCTACAATGGATAGTTCAGACAACTATGTCCCAGATACCTTGTCTGATTCAGAAAGTGATAGTGATCCAAACTTCGTCATGAAACAAAATTACAAGCAAACTCATTCTTGATGAATCTATCCCTGCAAACAATCTTGAATGTGACTTCACAACTTCATTCAAGATGCTAAGATGTGTTTCAGCTGAAACATCTTCTGCAGTTGAACTCAGTTCAAGTCAGGCCACTACAAATATGGCAGTTAAGGCATACAACAAAAATGGTGTACAAAGAATATATGACAAAAGAAATTTTTTTGCACGGGCTTTTTTTTGCTCTGCATTTGAAGCAAAATGTGCTTTCATCAAGAAATAAGCTGTTTACAATCCTTACAACAAAAAATATAAAATTGGTTAATAAAGACAGTCTGTGCATTCTTTGGCCTTAACATTGTACTTATTAGATTTACAAAGGGTCCCCATGAGTAAATTATAAAAGTGTGTGAATTATGCAAAAAATATGCAAATCTGGTCCTTCTAAGTGACATTGACTCGTTTTTTATAGGTCCCCACAGTACACTGCCAGAATATCATGTCATCAATTGAGACTTTTTAAGATGTGTATATGCTTACAATGTTTTG